ACTGTGTGCCAAGAGTTGTTCTAAGTGTTTCATGTGTATTAATTTAGCTAATCCACAGTAATAGTGAGTGAGGTACTATTATTGTTCCTACTGAGGTATGGACCAGATACCATGGATTATTTAACCAATTTGAGCCTTAGTTTCTTTAACTGTAAAATATCAGTAGCGCTTCATAAGGTTATCGTGGAAGATAAATGATGGGTCTAGCATAAGATACTCAACACATACAAGGCACTTAGTCACTTTTCCCATCTTCCTGTTTCAATGAACTGACTACTAGAAAGAGATTTAGTCCCTAAGTATACATAATATGTTTCCGTATCCGGTATTCTGTGCGATCCTTGTGATCATAAAGTGTCGGAAACATTGTGGGTACTCAATAAATGTTTGTTGTGTGCAAGAATGAAAACACAAAGGAATCTGCCCAAGTTCTCCAAATGCACCAGTGGCCAAAAAGATTTTAAATTGTTGCGTAGGTAATTCAGTGCATTATCATTATCTTATTAATTTGTTGATTATAATTAAATCACCTTAAAGAAAAAGTACTTAGGTCTTCTTTTTGAGGATTTCCTACCAGGATCATAGCAGCAACAAATCAGATCCCGATGACTACTAACCAGAAATACAGGGTGGGGCAAAAGTAGGTTTACAGTTGTAAGTACTCAAAACAGAGTTTATTCTTGTATTATTGTTTATTAATTATTGTATTATTTTTCATATGAACAACTGTAAACCTACTTTTGCCTCACCCTGTATGTCTCCTGCATGTGAGTATGATATTGAAGATCCAAGAATTAGGCAAGATTTTATCTTCTCCAGTTTTTGTAGGAAGAGCATGGGCTGTTTTCATAGGCACTTATAATTCATTTTGCCAACTCACCGCGAATAGTGTGTTAAGACACCTAAGTCTTAAAGTAGTGTTTATTATTTCTTTTAAGTATCATAATATATGTTTAACTTTTAAAAATAATTGGGGAGAAATTATAAAAACATACATATTTTGCTTTTGTCATGATTAAAATATAAAGAATGAATTAATGCCTTAATACCTTATAGCATGCCATATTCCTATTGTTCTATCAGATGAAAAGCAAATTGTTGTTTATGATGATGGTTTGATGGCTGATGGTGGTGGTGGTGATGATGATGATGGTGTTGATAATGGTGATGAATGCGGTGGTGAAAAGAGACTGAAAACCAACTGGGAATGGATTACTTCTCTCCAAAGCCAAAAATTGGACTCTGGACTTTGATAGAGTTGAACCATGGTTATTTAATTCCTTGTTTTTGCTCCATTCAGACTTCACTAAAACAAGGGGAGCTTTATCCTAGGAATTAAAAAAAAAAAGCTACTGAAATAATTATGTGAAGTTTATTACATCCTTATATAAACTAATCAAGCAAAGGCTGAATCATTCTGACCATCTTCATTCAACTATTACTTGGTGGAAATCCAATGTTGCTTCCCTGTTTGTTCGTGTCCTTTCTGATTTTCTTATCATCAGCAGGAATATTCTTTCCAGGGCAATGGTGAATTTCTCACCTTCTGTGGGATGATGTCATCCCATCTGTATGCTGCACACAGACTTATTTCATGACCCTGAGCAACACCCTATATCCAGGCTTTATTTGAGAAATGACCTCTTAGCTCTCTGCATCCTGGTTTGGGTAACTGACATTTATTTTCACTTTGATATCTGAACTACAGAGCATACCAGTGGGATTCTTGCTGGGAGAGATGCCAGGTCCATTCTGGCAGACTCCATCGGAAGGCACTGTGTTTAGACAGAAATCTCGAGAGCTGCTGAATCTTTGCAGCAATCCTATGTCAAGACATGAGAAATATTTTATTTTGAGGAAGATGGGACTGAGTAGGTGTGGGTATTGAGTAAATTCCAAAGAGAAAGTAGTATTCATTTCCCGTCCCCCCCATCCCCTAAAGACTGTCTCTAACACCCCTCCAGCATGTGCAGTCGTCCAGCATTTCAGAATTGATGGACTCCAGATGGAATTCCAATTTGAACTTACTGGCCATGGCCAGTCTGCCCTTGACCTCACACATTTCTTTAGTCCTATGTTGACCAAGAAGAACCCATGGAATAATGAGACTATCAACCAGGTCCAGAGGCTGGGAAAACCCTTAGAACATTAACTTCAAAGGCCATCATTTGAAAAACACAATGTAAACAGAAAAAAAAAGGGGCACAATTGTAAGCTGCTAGGAATTAAGCAAAAATTAAGTTTGTTCAGTTGTATAGCTGCCCAGTCTAGCAGTACCACTGTATCTCTTTCAAATGTATGGAGATTCCACAGACTAAATTTTTCTTAGTGAAACTAAGCCACAATTCGCAGACAAATTTATAGTGAAGATATGTCATAAATATATCCAGATCTAATGAACTGAATTTTTCAAATTCCTTTATAGTAGAAACCCAATTAAATGGGAAGCTGACACCATGCATATCTGTTTGGCTTGTCAGTGTATCCCTTATAAGTTAGCACAGAGCTTGGAACATAATAATTGTGCAAAAAGAATCACGTTATTGAATTTATTTATTTATTTTTGTCGATACTCATGACCTCTATTTCAGACTGTGAAAATGAATTTATTTTTATTTATCTTATTGAGTAGAGGATATTTACACTAAAAAAAATTATCTAATACTTTTTGATGGTCTTTTCTTTGAAAATTAGGTCTTACTAGAAATATAGATGTAGATGTGTAATTGATTAGACCAGCTATATCAACATCCCAGTTACCCCAGATAATTTTTGTATCCTTTTTGAGAATGAATTTCTAATTTAATATTTTATTTTCAAAAATCTTTTTTTTTTCCTACCGTAAGAGTGAATACAATTGGAACTTTGAATAATTAATATTTTTTGTTAAGCTGAGGTTCTGTGAATATATGAACATGGGGCAGATGATCAATATAGCAGGTTCCTGAGAAGCTGGCGGACATAAACATTCTCACAGCCAAGTTAGGGCTTGATGGTCCCATATTCCATCTACAGTTTTAAGTGTCTGTTATTTACAAGTCACTGCATAGCATGCAAAGGATGTTAAGTACTGTAGATATAATGAAATATGGAATAATATGAAGGACTTAGTCTCTACCTCAACAAGTTTATAATCTAATAAATAAAAAAAGAGCATTTCAAACAAAGCAGTCAATAGTCAGGATATGTGGTGGTCCCAAACCTGTGTTCAGTATATAGAAAGAGGTAAAAAGACCCCATCTAGGGTCTTTGCCTGAAAACAGGTTTATACTGAAATTCCAGATTAACAGACCAAAGCCAGTGGTTAGCTGGTGGGAGTAAGTAGCCAAGAGCCACAGGGTAACTACTGGAGACAGAAACATGACATTGGGGTCATACTGATTTTCCTCTCAATGAGAATTTACTTCTGCTGCTTTCATTACCTTCAGTTTCCCTCCTGCACTGATGGGGCAGGTCCCTGATGGAATCACCCAGAGGGCCCCTTCATAGTGTCCACCATGGCCACAGTCATCTGCCTACTACACCACCGTGGCCGGATGGTGGAGAACCATGAGCATCGCCAGCTGGTTCACCCAGTCCTTTGAGTATATACCTACCTCCACTTTGAGATAAAGGGCTTCTGGAAGCTGGAGGTGGGCCACCCCTGTGTTGTCATTTCTAACCACCAGAGTGTCCTAGACGTGATGGACCTCATGGAGGCCCTTCCCAAGCACTGTGTACAAATGGGCAAGAGGGAGCTGGTCTTCATGGGGCCTGTGAGCTTGATAATGTACCTCAGAGGCACCTTCTTCATCAACCGCAGCACTCCAGGACCACTGTGACCATGATGGACCACATGGGCAAGAGCAGGGTCAGGAGGAACCTCAAAGTGTGGGTTTACCCCAAGAGCATGTGGACCAGCAATGGGGACCTGCCACCTTTCAAGAAAGGTGTCTTCTACCTGGCTATCCAGATCCAAGTGTCCCTCTTCCCTGTGGCACACTACACCTTTTACAACCCAAGATGAAGCTCTTTACCTCACGAACAGCCCAGGTGGAGGTGCTGGATGCCATCCCCACCAATGGCCTCACAGTGGCTGACATTCATGGACACCTGCTACCAGGCCATGAGGACCACCTTCTTCCACATGTCCAATACACCCCAGGAGAACAGGGCCACTGCAGGGCCTGGTGTTCAGCCTCCCCTTTGGCCAAAGCCTGGGGCTGGGGCAGGACCTGGCTAGTGAATGGATAGAATGACCATCTCCCTCCACCTCCCAGATGCCAAATATTACTGTCTCCCCTGGCTTTCATTCAGGCCCCTTCCAGTCACTAGCCTTGGATCCAGACCCCTGATATCCTTCAAAGGAAAGTCAGCTGGACCCTCCCTAATCTCTAAGGGCATCCTCATGCCTTCAAGATCCAGGAACAGGAGCAGGCTTTGGGGCTCCAGATGGGCTGAGCTGCTAGGCCTTGGAAAGAATGGCCAGAGGTAAGGCCTTCTGCCCTCCTGCCCCAGGCCTGTGGGGTGCAGAGGCAGGCCCCAGGGCCCTGGCCACAGCCTGCATTAGGCCTGTCCAACCTCGGCCTCAGAGAGTCAGAAAGCAGGGTCTGCCCCTCCTGCTGGCCTTGGGGAGCAAGTCTGCCGAATCGGTACTACACTCAGTTGATTGTTAATTTTTATTAATGAACTCTTGGAAGTGCAAAAAAAAAAAAAAAAAGC